CAAAAAATGATAAAATGTATAATATGTAGATTTTTACAACAATAAAAACGTATGTGCATAAAAGCAAAATACTTATTCATTTTTACAATGTACAACAAATTATGACTTATACATTTTCAGTTTTTTAGTATAAATACGACAGCTTGTATCCGCATGCCGCGTATCAGTAATAATGGTAATTTCAGAAATTGAAATGGTAGACGTATCGGTAATAATAATTGTATTTTGTGTTGAACCTATTGTTGAAGCCGTAGAAAAATATCCGTATTTGTACCAGAAGATATAACAGAAACCTTGGTCTACAGTAGCAGATGAATTAAAATAGCTAGTAATAATATTTAATATTAATTTATTAGTGCTAAAAATTTAAGCATTTAAATTTGATTTTATTTTACTTTCAACACACTAATTATAGGTACTTATAGGTATTAGTTATTCATTTCAACTAATCGTTCCAACCGTTCCTCCCCCTACAAACAAAAAAACAGCTAATGGTCATAGTTGCCAGGCTTAAGCTATATAAAAAAAACAAATATATTATAATATATAGTAGCATAATATTAAAATAATAATAACCTACGCAGATAATACGATGTATCAATAATAATGTGGTATTTGGAAAAATAAACAGGTCCCGAATGCTGGCCTTAAAAAATGACAAACGTTCGAACTCGCTGGCTAGTAATAAACGACGTTGTACCCGCGGCGTCGTCTGGGAGATTTTCGAATAATTTTTCGTAACAGTGTCGGACGATGTACACATGTAGTTCATTTTATATCCATTGTACAGACGTCTACAATGACAATACACACAACTGTTGTAATATAAGATGAGCCAGGATCCACGAAAACGAAGTTACTGTAATATGTGAGGTGAGTAATCGTAGAGATTATTATTGCGGGCACCTACCATATTATATTATAATTAACTGCACTCACGATGATTATACAGTTGAGTGTCGTCAATGTCGACTGTGGTCGAGACCGTTGTCAAAAGTCTATATCGTTGGCCGTTGGCAAATAATTGAGTCGTCCAGCGGTGACTTACCTGCACCGTCCGTACGCATCCCGGAAAACTCCCAAAATGCTCAGTCACCGAGGACCGACCTCACGACGACGACGCATGCACCGCAGGTTGTGGTGGGTGGCGAAGACGTCAGTAGGTAGGGTACTATATTATATTATTATCGTTATGATCAACGCATATTGCTTACCAATTATTTATTTATTTCTACGATGTATACATCATTTGAAATTGTTATGACCAAACTATTCTATACCAGATAACTTTAAAATAGCCATAATCACACCAATACACAAATAAGGTCCAACTACATAATATAGTAACTTCCGGCCAATCTCAGTAATTTAAAATATTACAAAAATATTCGAAAAAATAATAAAAAGAGGTTACTAGATTTTTTAGAATCAAATAATCTATTCTTTAAGCACCAATTTGGGTTCAGACCAAGTAAGGGAACTGACCAAGCTATAGCCAATGTAACTAAAACTATATATTATACTGCTTTAGAAGAAGGGAAAAATGCGCTACTATTTATCTCGACTTAACCAAAGCATTCGACACAGTAGATCATAACATACTTTTAAATAAAATGAATAATATCGGAATATCTGGTTCCGCTCTTTCTCTTTTTACATCCTATCTTAATAATAGAAAACAAATGGTAAAAATTAATGATTCCATCAGTAACGAGTTGTCAATAAAATGAGTAGTCCCGCAAGGTACAACGTTATCTCTTATTTTATTTAATATCCAACTAAATGATATAAAAACACTTAATTTAAAAAGTCAAGTAATATGCTACGCTGATGATACTGCACTAATTTGCATAGCTAATACATGGAACGAAGTTTTTAATAATATTGAGACAGACCTCAAAATCATTGATAACTGGTTAGGTGTTAATAACTTATTTTGAAATTTTGAAAAATCAGCTATTATACTACATTCTTTCACCAAGTCCACTTTACACAACATCAATTCAATTAAAATCCACGATAATACATGTCAGATTCATGACCTATGCCACTGCAAATCAATCAATGTAGTAAAAAATTTCAAATATCTAGGTATTGAAATGTGCTCTGATATGAAGTAGGTAAATCAAATCGCATCTGTCTGCAATAAGTTGAAAAAATTAATTTATATAATAAAACAACTTCGTGATATTCTACCACCTAAAGACATTAGAATATTTTACTTAGCTCTTGTTGAATCGCAAATCACATATGGTTTAATAGGTTGGGGTGGTGCCTATGATAATATTCTCTCCCTACTTCAAACCTGTCAAAACACAATTATCAAAGTTGAAATTAAAAAAGACCGTGGATATCCAACCGAAAAAATATTTAAAGAGTTTAATGTATTAAATATTAAAAACCTGTACTTTAAAATAAACATTTTGTATATAAAAAAACACAATATACTGTTCCCTTTGAACTATGGTGTCAATACTAGGTACGCACTAAATAAATACTCTCAAATTTGGCCAAAAAAACCCGTTTGTCGAATGGTATTTGATTTCATAGGGACCCAGATTTTCAATTCAATGCCAACTTATTTAGCAAACATGCCATTGCCATTGTTTAAGAAGCATATCACACACTGGTTAATGTATGAATGTGACGTCACTAAATAGGATTAAAAATATGCCACTATATTCACACACATATTATCATTCAGAATCTTATGTTACCTATTGCTTCCATGTCTATATTTATAATATTAGTATTATTTTCGTCATAAATTATTTTGTACCAATCTACCTATAACTTACTTTATCTGTTTTTGTTTTTGTTTTTACCTTTATTGTACCATTAGGATATTAATTTCAAACACAAATATTGTAGATGTCTGTCAATTGTAATTGTTATGCAAATGTGTAATGTATAGTAGATAACCCTGGGCCTCCACACGAGTATGTCTCAGTGAGGCCCAGTAATCTCATAGATTTAAATTTAAATAAAATAAAATACAACGTTTTTTGGCATAATCCATAACGTACCCGAGTATATCAAAAGGCATGCGATATGGCATATTTGCCGTTTTCCTAACACTCCGATATTGTTGGATGCGTACCTGTGTTGTGCAGCGCGAACGCAGTCAGGATGTGTGTGGCCGGCAAAACTTTACCGCCGGGCTTTTTTTAAGACGGCCGTCATCGTTTTCCGTGGGTGTTGTCAGTATTATCACTTTACTGCTCTACCGGCCTTTTTTTTATGTGAAAATATCTTATGGAGAGGTAAGACTTTTCCGCTTGGGCAGTGGAATTTTTCGAGCGTTATTCCAGCGTTACCCTTTTTGCTTAACGGTAGTGCTACTGACGTGCTGATTGGCGGAGACTCGGTGCGACGCAACGATAGGGCGACTTGTGCCGGCGTGGCTTCATTACGATCACGGACATCGAACATAGTGCCGGCGAGAGCGTCACATTAGTTCATCGTCGACAACTAACGTGAACAGTTAACTTAAGATCTATTGTACATGTAATACATGTAATATTAATATTTGATCACATGCACAGACGCGCAACTGTCGTAAATCGTCCGTTGTCGCGCGTTGGTAGTGCACGAGGGCGTTTTCCGTTGATAAACTAGGTATATCGCAAAGTGTTTACTCGTCTCATGAACACTATAAACAGTATAAACAATAAACATGGTCCAGGGCTTGAAACCGTTATCAAAATTGTAGGTTACCGCTAGGAAATTCTATAGAGGCAAACGTTGGAAACTTTGATGACAGATAAATTCGAAATGTCTGTTTGATAAGCAATAAAGTGAACATTTCAAACGCCATGATCCAGCGTTTTGTCTATTCAGTAGTTCAGTTCCAATAACCAATACCTACCGTGGTTGAATTTGTTTATATTTTTTTAATCAAAAGTACATACCTATAATTATACCTATGTGAAAACATGTTATAGGGCGTTCAGGTCTTTCCGCATGTCAGTGAAAATTTTCGATCGTTACCTTTTTCTTACAGAGCGAGTTTTCTATGCAGTTAATATTTTCAGACTTGTGATTTTTTTCCCATCTTTTTCGAAAAACACCGAAACTTTTTTGGCCACTAATAGACTAATTCGGACCTCAGACTGGGCGTCAACCTTGAGGGTAGGTCGAAATCGGAATTCGTGCCGAGCAAATTTTCTTTGAAGGAAATATTATCGGACTTGTGATTTTTTTCCATATTTTCCATGATTTCAAAGAAAAAAAGTGGGTAAGTGAATGTCACTCTGCTGTACAATGTGTTACAATTGGGTCGATGTATAACGGATTGAATAATAAGGAAATAACTAAAACCTTAAATATTAAATTAAAAAAACCATTCATGGGTCCTCAAAAGAGCTCGTTAGTGCCATTAGTGGGGCTCATTATTTTCTTGAAATAAATAAAAATACAAATTCACTATTTATACGAAAAATAAAACAATATTTTGCTTATAATAACAACACAATTTTGACATGTATATGTCTTATGGCTGGGGGTCATTCTGTTAATTTGTTCGACACCGAGAATGTTACCATGACGTCATTGGTGTATGATCTATTAGTAACATTAGGTATAGCCCGTTGTATAATAAATAATAATAATAATAATAATAATAATAGTAAACGAATCGCGATGGTGACCACGTGTTTTACCACCATCGTGGAAAAGTGAATCGAGAATTAAGGAATGAGTTTGCTCGTCTCGAATGCCATCGTTTAAAAACCATAGGGGACACATGCCGCCATTTTCTCGATCGTTCTTTGCAGTCAGATTTTACCTCGCTTTCGCTTTGCACGTTCAATGCGCAATCTTTAGCTCACTCGCTTGATATAACTACAGATTTTGTACTTCCACGCTTTAAATTACTTTCCATTTCCGAAACATGGATCAAAAATGATCAACTTGTCGAAATACCGGGTTTTCGCACGCTTTTGCGTTTCAAAAGAAATACGATTCGTTCGGGCGGTGTTGCTATATGCGAAAAAAAGTATATGAGTTCTCCCGATGGAGTACAATCGATCGAGTGCAATTTGTTCAAGTTTAATCGAGAAAATAAGAACGTGAAGCGAATTGCAACATCTCATGACGATATCGGTGACATTTGTTCGCTCGAGACGACGATCAATTGTAAACGAACTGTACTTGTGTCAGTTTACATCTTTCCGAATACACCATTTGAAAGAATTAAAGAATTTTTCGTCTTAAATCTAATGGCATACAGTCCTAAATTAAAAGGAATATTCGAGGTGCTCAAAAAGTATAATAATCACGATTTACCCATGATTGTTGGCGGAAACTTAAATTTGGATTTACGAGGATCACACGGAACCGAATTCATCGAATTTATGCGTACCGAACTTGGATTAGAATTAAGTAACGATATCGCAACCTCTTCTTCACGCAATTCAACTTGTATCGACATTTTATCGATACATCGAGAAGCTTGAAACTCGTGAGTACGTTTCATATTTCAGTACACACCGTCCTTTATTATCCATCACTAAAAGTATTGTAAATGACGATTCTGTAGTTTAAATTAAAAATTTAAATAAAAATGTATTCTCAATAAATAATTGCTGTCTTTGAAAAATATATAAGTCGAGCGTGTTACAAGTACGCGGGGATGAAGTGAAACTTCTTTCAGTCATGCAACTGATATGAGGTATTGGAATAAAATAAAAAAATACACTTTACAATTTTATATTTAATAGAATTGTTTTTTTTTTATTATTATTTATTTTTAACTAATGATACAATGGGCTTATGATAGCTGAAATAAGTTATGTACGTTTTTGATTGTACCTTATTAAGATATCGTGTGAAAATAGCATCTATTGTGGTTCCTGACCGCGTTGTTGGAATTTTTGGATCATTATTCATTGATAAATTGAGATGTTCACGAAAAAATTGTGTTAAAGGTTCTGATCTATCCGATGCAAAATTAACATTAAAGTCTCCACTCAGACTCATATGCAGTTTATTTTCTCCCCTGCCGAGTAATGGTGTACCTTTGGTAGAATAGGCAATCAACGATCTTTTTAAAAAATAAACTATATCATCTATTTTTTGATTTGGTGAGATATAAACCGCTACAATGATGATGATTGGTTCATTTTGTCTTAAACACTCAGCAACACAAAATTCACCGACTGGAGTAATTTTGGAATTATATAACTTTGATTGCCCTATTTTCATCTCAGTCAATGGAGTGACAATATTAACTATATCGTTGTTATTGTGATATATAGCTAAAATGACAATCTTTTTTGTTGTAATAATAATTCACAAATATAATACCGATAACATAGATAACATAGATAATATAGAAACACAGAATTTATATATTATATAAAAAAATCTAATTAATATAATTAGTTGTTATTACATAGGTACTACAAAAATAATAAACTACGTTTCTATGTTACCGGTTAACGGTTAACCGTTAACCGATGCACAGCTGGTCCGTGACGGCGGCTCGTGACGGCCGACCGTGCCCGACCGTTGTTTATTTTTTTTGTACCCTCTGTAAAGAAGTTTCACTTCAACAATTAAATTGTGTCGTCACAAAATTGGAACATAAAAATGGCCTATTCTTTTATATATAAATTTGACAGAATTTCACCGTCACAAAGATGGCAATATATGTATATCACACTACCGCATCTTTCCTGAAAACTTCTCCATCTGTATTAAAAGGTTCAATCTACTGTTTAAACCAACTGGTTTTTTTTAGATCATTGTTTCGGCATTTTAATAAACTTGGAAATAAAAACACAACAGTTACAAAATATTATAAATTTATAAGGTATTAGTTAATTTTAAATTTTAATAGACTTCGAGTACAAAACTCGTTATCACTAGAGGAAAAAGAGTGATAATTTACGCGGTTTCAAAATATTACCAATTATTCGGGTCACGTCTTATCGCAGCAGTTTAAATCATAGATTATCTATTATTAGGTCTATCGTCTATGGTTGAAAATAAGTACATATTTTAAGGGGATTGGAAGCGGCGATTTTCTGTCTTTATCTAACACACGTGGAACATAGGATTATAGACGTGTTCTATGTCCAACGTACCGATTAATCTAATGAAGCGATAAGAATTCTGAAAACAGATTTGAATTTGTCGTCAATTCTACTTGAGATCGACTTTCCCACATTTTTGATATTGTCCCACCAAAATCATAAAAATTATATATTTTAAAAAGTACTTAAAAAATTTACAAATTTCAACTTTTGGAGAAGTTTAAATCAAAAAATCAAAAATGTGGGAAAGTCGATCTCAAGTAGACTTGACGACAAATTCAAATCTGTTTTCAGAATTCTTATCGCTTCATTAGATTAATCGGTACGTTGGACATAGAACACGTCTATAATCCTATGTTCCACGTGTGTTAGATAAAGACAGAAAATCGCCGCTTCCAATCCCCTTAATTCCTGGATATATTTCGATACATATATTTTTAATTAGTGAAATAAGCAAAAATATGATTTCATTTCTACGCTCGTCGTGATACGACGTGTGTACTGTACATTACTGTCTTATCTTATTATTTACCCAACGTTCTAAATTTTAAAATAATAATGTCCAACTGTTCAAAGTGCAAGGACACACTAATTCCGGAAGACGAAATTGTTTGTTCTGAGTGCGATAGCAAATACCACTTCACTTGTGGTGGTCTAAATACGCTATCTTTCCAAAAACTATCTAAAAATACAAAAAACAGATGGGTCTGCAACGTATGCAAATACAAATGGGACATCTCAAAGAAAAATATGGATACCAAATCAACAGATTTCACATTTCAAGACCTTGCCAATTCAGTTAAATTTATGAGTGAAAAATTCGATGATTTCAACGGTACTGTAAATAAATTACTTGAAGAAATGAAAGAAATACGTAAAGAGAACACACAACTTTATGAAAACAACAAGAGGCTTTCTCAAGATATTGAGAATCTCAAATATCGTTTAGATAGCATTGAACAAAATAATCTTGATTCAACAATAGAAATAATTGGTATACCTAAGGTAACCAATGAGAAATGTATAGATACAGTGATAAAGCTTGCGACAATATTAAACATAGTCATAACCGTAGAGGAAGCTTATCGCGTTCCTATTACGATAAATGGTGAACATAAAATTATAGCCCGTCTTGCAAAGCCGGGTATGACAATTGCCATAATCGCTAACTGTAAACAAAATAAAACACTAAAACTATCCAACATTAATCCCGAGTGGTCTGATGATATATATAAATTTATATATAAATCAACATATCACTAAACATAAAAGACAATTACATGGTAAAGCCAGAGCCACAGCAAAAGAAAAATTTTACAAATACATATGGATCAACCAAGACGCAGAGATCTTAATAAGAAAAAACGAAAATACAAAGGTACGAAAAATTTTTTCTGAACAAGATCTTCTCCTACTATAATATCTCTCCAAAAAATATAACTTTTAGATTTTAATTAACTTGTTCTAATGAAACCCAATTGCATGTACTACAATCACCATATAGTTATTATCTGTTTTATTTTGTCATTAATGATTATTTCACACTATATTTACGTAGACTTTGGATCAATCTGTATCCACCATTCATTATTTAATTCAATTTATATATATATACTACCACACTAATATAACTTTATTTAAAACAAAAATAACCATCTCTTTACATCACAATTATGGCTCATAATAATATATTATTTAATAATTTTCTATCAAAACAATACCTAAATTATAAAATATTCGTTCATGAATTAAAAAACAAAATAAATAATATAGACACAAGTTTTAATTTAATCAACATGAATATCCGTAGTATAAATAAACACATATTAACTGACTTATCTGGTTTAATTAAAGTAATTGGAAATCATGTTCATATTATCTCATTATCTGAAGCCTGGCTAAATAAACATTTTGATAAAAAGTTCGTATCTCTAAATAATTACCAAATAATCCATACAAATAATAACATTAACAAAAGTGACGGAGTTGTTCTGTTCATTAGAAACGATTGCATCTTTACATACAAAGAAGTAATATTCTCTGAAGCTAACTGTTTAATAACGAGTATAAAAATAAACGAGCACAACTACTATATAGTATCATTATACAGATCCCCAAATGGTAATAGTAACATCTTTCTAGAACAGTTACAAAATCTCCTACCTAATTTAATACATTATAATAAGAATATGAACATATTTTTCTGTGGTGACATAAATATTAACTTACTAAACAATGATAATCTAACTAATAACTAAGTTAGTTTAATGTCACACTATGGATTTACCTCATTTGTTAACTCTCCAACCCGTGTCTGGGATGGGGGTGAATCGTGCATTGACCACATATTCATAAAAACAATAAATAACTTCAATATTGATAATGCTGTCATATTAGAATCAACAATCACAGATCACTTTCCTTCGTTTATTCAAATAATTCCTAATACTATTTTAAAAAATAAAAGTAAAAAATCTGTAAATGAATCAGATTTTTATAAATCATTCAACAAAAGTACCTTTAAATCGCTAATAAAAAAGGTGCAATGGCAAAATATGCTTAATCTAACTTCTTCTGATAAAACAATTGAATCATATACTAATATAATAAAAAACACAGCAGAAAAGGCGTATAATAATTCAACACACAAAAGCATATTTAAAATAAAACCTTGGATCACAACCGAAATACTGAATAGCATAAAATAAAGAGATATATTACACGCCCAGTCGAGGAAAAAACTGTACGATCTACAATTAAAGGAAAAATTTAAAAAATGTAGAAATTATTTAAATAGTGCCATCAAAAAAGCTTAATTTGATTTTTACGATAAAAAAAATTAAAAAATGTAATAACGACCCCAAATTGATATGGAAAACTATTAAAGAAGCCACACAAGATCATCCGAATACTAAAATTAAAACTTTACATATAGATATAAATAATACTACATACACAAATAAAACGCAACCTTTTAAAATAGCAGAACATTTCAATGAATATTTTGCGAATATAACCTCAAATAGTGCAAACAATTACATTAATACAACCGAAAGTTCCGTAGGCAATATAGATCCATTATTACCTCTCCAATCTCTATACATAAGGAAAACTAATTTAAGTTAAATAAAAAACATAATTTCGTCCTTAAAAAATGGTGCAGCTCCAGGCTATGACAAAATTTCAACAGACATGATTAAATTACTTGATGACAGGGCTCTTGAACCATTAGTACTTATAATAAACAACATAATTAATACAAGAGTAGTCCCAGCTAGTTTCAAAACGGCAATAATAACTCCGATCTATAAAAAAGGTAATCCATGTAAAGCAGAAAATTATAGGCCAATAAGTCTCTTATCAAATTTCTCTAAGATATTTGAGAGAGTAATTAAATCGAGACTAGCCAATTACAAAGA